TAGAGTGATCTTTCTAAGATATAATTATTTGTAAAAAACAAAAAATCCTTTGTAACATCGAGGTTGAAACCTGAACTCCTTGATATGGTGTATAACGTTCTTTCATGTTCTATACCCTGATGTGGTCTCCCATAGTACCTGATCTTTCCGGGCACCCACACTTCCACCTACACTTGACCTGCATTTCAGCAATCCTAGCTTCACAGTTTTCCCAAGGTCATGCTCGCTCACCTCTATGCCTTTGAACCTGCTAGTCCCTCTGCTCAATATGCTCTGTCTTCCTTCTTTACCTACTTCCTATTTATTCTTTGAGACTCAGCTAAAGTGAGTTGTTCTCTGACTTTAGTCTTTCTCAGGTTTTTTCTCTCTGACTCTTTCTCTCTGACCCTTTTATAGCACTTTGATTCTATATTGTAATTAATGTTAATTATCTGGCAGCCCCACTAAAATGTGAATTGCTTGAGGGCAGTAACCATGATCTTTATTATTCTCAGTTTTTAGCTCAATACCATAACACATCAGTGCTCAATTAAAAACAGTAATCTCGAAATAAAATTAAAATCTAATGAGCCATGTATAGCAGAATTTAAAACTCATAACTCGTATTAGCTCTGCTTACCAGGGAGTAACTAAGGTGTGGCAAGGCCTTTTTTTTTTTTACTGTTTTATAGGATTGTGTTTTGTTGACCTATGAGAGAAACTAGGAAGTTTCAAGCTTGGTAAATTTGAGCCACTGCATAGTATAGATCTCTGTTTTAGCAATGCTGACAATCAATAGAAGGAACAGTTGTCTCTTTAGTGATTACTAGATTTCTCTGGTAAGATAATTTAAAAGTAGCTAGCATCTTTTTCCTAGGTACATTCTACCTCACTAGTCTTTAAGACCAGTAACATCGGACTATGCAGGAGTATAAACATTTATTTGAGTTAAGGGTCAGGTACATTTTATAGAGTATGATGTGGGAAGAGCAGATGTTGTGACTTATTATATAACTTACTTGTTACCTGGAACTTAACAAAAAGAGAGGACCTAGACCCTTAGATGCAGATAACTCTTTATTGCCAACCTTTCTTTCTCCTAACCACTGCTCTTCTCTTACTATAGCCTGCTTGGTTAATACTTCAGTGTACTGTCCTCGCATCTTCCGTAGGAAATTCTTGCCACCTTAATTCGAAACTCCATTTCTTTGGCTTTAGGCCATTCGATCAGGGAGAATCTCTTCTACCCTATCCCTTGCAAACTGAAAGGGATAGGCCTAAGCTGCTCTGCTTTCCACTTTCACAAGGTGGGAGAGATAATGATACTCAGATTCCAGATTAGTGAGAGCTGTGCCTGATTTTCTCACCATTATCTGAAAAGCAAACATCTCTTATCAAAGTAAATTTTCCCCAGAGACAACCAGCCTGGTGTCATGTGATAAAAACATATTCCTTTTAATAATGTGACTGTTCCTGGCATTATTGTGCTAAGTAGTATTTCATTGCTTTTTGAACTTATCTGCATAATAAATAGCACCCCGCAGTAGCTGTATATTGGTTATCTATATTGGTTCTCTATTAGTTATAAAAGCTGGGTAACATCATCTCCTAATTATATTCTTTCCCAGATTTTTTCTTCGATGGGGAGTAGTTAGCTTTATCTGCCACAGAAGAATTAGTTATTTGTGATCTCGTACACATGCCTATGTGCTTATGCCAACAATGATGATTTTATCTTATTAGCCAATCAGAATATAAGGAGGCTGCATCAGGGAATGCAATCTATCTTTATTTAAGTTTAAATAAATGATATCTATGTGATTGCTATATATGTTGATATACCTGAAGATGAGTACATGTTTCAAAAACCTAGTTTTTGCTTATATGTGAAAAATGCCCTTTTCTTTGTTTTGTGGCTGTAGTTGTGGCTATTGAACTTGTCCTTTAATCACATAGTGTCTACCCTCTTTCTCAGAATGGACCGACTTTTATTGCTTCATGCCAGTTTGATTTATCGTCTGCTGTTGGCACCTCAAACTCAGTATATCCCAAACTGAACTCATTTCTTTCTTCTCACATCTTTTCCTCTTCTATATTCTTAATTTCTTCTGTCAGTTTGATTTATCATTTGTAGTTGGCACTTCACATGTCAATATATCCATGTGTCCCAAATCAAACTCCAGCAACTCTAATTCCCCAGAATACTCTTTCTCTATATTTTATATCGAAATTATTAGCAGTGCTTTTTGTAGTATAATTGTTTGTTTGTCTGGCTTCCCCACTATTTGAGGCCAGGGTCTTATGTTATTCATCATTGTATCTTCACTGCCTATCATATGTGCAAATCTGCCATACATAAGAAAACATCCAATATTAATGAATGACTAAATGGTACAGTTTAGAATATCACTTGTTAATTCTATATTTATTGTTTACTATGCAGGGCACTATGATAGGGTGACCCATCATCCTTGTTTGTCTGAG